TTTACATATTTAGAATTGAGCCATTCTGAGGTTTTGGATATAACATTGTGTGAATATCTTCTATGAAACATTTACATGCAATTATGATTATAATATCATAATACTGGGCACGTGAAACATTAGTTTGTATTAGTGAATCGTGCAATTTTTATTGTCTATACACACGGATGATGTAGTTTTTTTTAACCTATTAGTATTTCATTGTATTAAAAAGCAATTGTGCCGTTCAATAGATTCGCTATAAAGACATTTGATAAATTTTTAAAAAGGTTGGTTGTTTGATATATAAACGTGACCATATAACCTTCCAAACAATTTTACTAATTAATAATAAAAATAACTGAAACTTAAATTCTATGAAAACAATTCAATATAAACTGCACTGCGACAAGTTTCGTTATTAACAATTGGTGTACAATTTCGGACATTAAAATGAATTCAGCTAATACATCATCATTACCAGCAGCCAAAGTTCGGAAGTTCTCCAGATATGCAAGTTTTGATTCTGAGGTAATGCCAGTTTTATTCATTAAGTGTTCTTCTAGTAAGGGTGTAGACGGTGGATTGCACTTTCCAGGACCGTCAATCACCGTGTATATCCAGTAACGCAGGATTGTGCAAATAACGCCGGATTGTGCAAAAAGTAACACAGAAATGTGCAATTTAGTTGCTATAACGAGCACTGCGATATGTAATTGACCAGTATTTTTATTGTACACCAACTTGGAAGAAATGAATTAGAGAACATTGCTGAGACTTTATATTTTAAACCGTATTAAAAATATTTCCATGAAATGTTTAATTATTCGTGAAAATGCTGACTTTTTAGTTTCGTTGATATCTTTAAATACAATAACCTACATAATAATTTATGTTTTTATATTCGGTTTTCCAATCTACTCGTGTCATATTCCACTTAAGCAGATAAAACGTAATTGAGACCTTTTTTATGCGATAACGCCGGATTTGTGAATGAAGCACTGAAGCAACGGCGGTTATCTCATTAAAGCTAATTCTTATTTTACCAACTTCCTTCTATTGTTATACGACACTTGTAGTTTGGCAAATGTCTTAGGTATACACAATATGAAAAAATAATGTTTTAAATGTGTTAAATGTACATATTTATTTGACAAACACAAAAGTCACCTTCAAAACGGTAATCAGGTTGTCTTTCTCACGAATGACTTAAAGAAGTAAACATATTCCTGAAAAAAATTGTAATGCTGGTTAAAGTATAGTGTCGTAGCAGCCGTATGCGCTTATTCATTTCTTAAAATTTTATTTAGAATATTAAAATATTTTAGTTTGTTTACTTACTGTCTTATTCGTTTTGGCAATAGCGTTGCACAGACTCGGCGTTAATTTTACGTTATTTGCACATTCCTGCGTTACTGGATATGCACGGTGTCAATGAACAGGCTCAATCAAATATTTTCAATTTTGTCGTTTTCGGGCGTTCTTTTTTCTCTTATTAGTGTAAAACAACTCGAATTTGGTTAGGATATATATAACGGCAATGGGGGTTGCAAATAGTCGCACACGTGATTCTTTTCTTTCCAGTGTTTTGAAACTAATTGCTCGCGATAGTTATCTGACATGTAATAATTAAACGTTTTAGTCTGCTATTAAATACATCAATCACATAGATGTCTTTAAAGTGCTTACTCGTTTAAAACTACTTATGTAATTGTTATCATTGCATAAGGATTAACTTATGTTATAACATTAGGTTATAGTGTCGATCAAACAGATTATAACTTGTGTATGTTTAAAATGGAATATACAAAGCTTACTGATTTTATAAGCGTTTTTTTATTTAGAGTCGTCAATATTGAATGTAATAACGGTTAATATCCGTTTCAATACATGTACAAAAACATCAAAGTATGGTTAAAAGCATGACCAAAAAGAACAGCATATGATTGTGAACAACAATGATGCAATATGTAATATTATATGTAATGAAACTTGTTAAAGAATCTTTTTTTATGTAGATTTATTTTTCGGTCGTAGACTGCTTGATGCCATCATGACCTCCGGCAAACATTATGAAATATTTACTATCCTTCTTCCCCTTATTAACCGAGAGATCATCCGTGTAGAAAGTCATTTCTTAGCATTGGTAATTTGCCGGCATTAATAGAACACTCAGAAATTACTTATTAAATGTTAAATAACGTTTAGTACGGCCGATTCTATTACTCCGAGACAAAATAACAAAAAGACAAAAAAAAGAGAGATAAATAAAAAACCTCGGACACAACTTGTGCTATCTGTTTGTTTAACATCATAAAAAATTATATAAAAAAATTGATAAGAAATTCAAAGACACACACATAATTATGTTAATAAATTAAAAGCGTATCATATAAAGATTCGCACATTAATTTCTGTTTCCGATTGTCTTAGTCGTAGAAACGATAGAATATTACAGATTGAATTGTAGTTTGTTCAGTTTCCTTTCCTGAAGATTTTACCGAAAGAAAGTGTTATTATGCTGTTAAACATATGTAATGTCGACAATATAAGTTTCCTCTAAGCAAAGACACTCGTGGTATGTTTTATTATGTGTATTTAATCAGTTTGGTCCATTTATAAGTGCAATTTGGCAGATTGCTTTTTTGTTGTTAGTCTAGTTTGGCCTTGTATCTCTGCCTGACATATGTACGGTGTTATATGTATTACATTTGTATAATTAATACCGATTGTTTTCCAACAATAAATGGTATTTATACAAATAATCAAAGGAGACAAGTATAGGCCAGCGTTGAATCACGTGATAATTTCTCGTGCTAATTCTCTGTTTATATCATGCTTAGTAGGTTAGTTATAATGACTTTAAATACATTACCACCTTTGTATATGTATTATGTACAGTTGGAAATAATATTCGTTGGATTTTTTGTGTGATAATTTAAAAGGAAAATGTGATGCCTAGTATGTTTAGGCACTTGTGAGATTAATTATTTAATTAAATAAACGATTTCGCCGAAAAGGAGCTTATTTTCTAATTAAAGTGAGGATACCTCTGTTCGGAAATGTAGGGTAGTTTACTAACTTATATACCCATGCTGAAAAACATAAATTCGAGTATATCTATATTGATGTGACTACAATTGAAATTGACTAGATTGTCGTAGAAATATGTATAACTCTTTACAAAATTATATAAAATCACACATTTGAAGAGATTTGTTTTTCCTGCGATAACCGACCAATAAGTGTTTTGGTCATACTTTTGTGTTCATCAAGTCTTTTATTATTAAGTATTATTTTGTTCATAAATTATGAGAAATTAGTAAAAAAAAACGAACATAATTGAACTCAATTATAGTTGAGAGTATTCGTGTGTCATATAGAAACAATGAATACTGTAGCAGTTAGCAGTAGTGTAGAGGTAGATAATGAAGGTGATTGTCCCAGACATTCGAGGAATGTAACCAAGGAACACGCTGATCTAGTGGTAAGTCAATCCTGATTAGAAATTGACACCTTATTGCTTTTTACCTGCTGAATTACTTAAATGAGCATGTCAAACTTTCATTATTGGTATTCTCAATTTTCAATTTAGCGGTAATAAAGATGAAAATGTGCAGCTGGTCAGCCGGCAGAATACATGGATTCTGTGAGCAAAGGCTTCACATTTTCAGTTCTAGCAACTTGAGGGATAAACACACTAATCTACTTTGCTTTATATTAATTAATGTTTTTCATAGTATTTATGAAAGTGACATTATGCCCTGTCTGTCGCTGTTATGTTGAGTTGAATAAGTATTATATTTGACAATATTGACTATCATATTAGTGGTTGACTAATAAATGATATTGAAAAGTTTTAATGATACGACCTACAATAGTGAAATACTGTCCAACTTTTTATTAGCTTTGAACGTTGCCGATACAATACATTCTAAACGATATTCACAAAAGTTTCCATTGTCCACGTGAAATATTAATTCTTTTTTCATGGTTAAATATTAAAGTTATTTTGATTTTTACCCGTTCACAGACCATTTACACAAATTTGTAACTTGAACTCATTTTGATTTGTGACTAAGTTGCTAGTGTTATTTTAACATCCAAAAGTAACATTATTTTCTTCATGAAAACTAATTGAATCCTAATTGATATTAGTTTTAAAAATCATGAGTCAACAATAAATAAAGATTATTAACGTTTGTAAATGGACATGATTTTATGATTCTATGTTTATATATTTCTTTCTACAATTTAGTAAAACTCTACCCAATATATCGCATTGCAAAGGCACGAATTTCTAAGATATAAAGATCTTTGACAGCGAAAAATCAGTGTTGAGTTTAGGAAAGAAATAGATATTACTTGTAAATACGGAGACAATGATTTTCCTTTGACCTGTTTAACTATTTTATATAATACGTTAAAAGAATTACTAAATGCTAAAGAGATACTGTTTTCGAGTAAAATGATACTCACTTGTTTGTCTTTGTTGTTTTTTTTTGTTTGCTTGCTTTTCTGATATAACTGGTCACACCGCGCCAAATATTACTAGTATTTCTATTGAGCCTAGAGTAAGTTAGTACATGTTTAAGGTTATAAAATGAGTTATTTAAGTTATTTCCTTTAAATAATCGATCATGAGGTTATTTACTTGCTTAATTTTACCACGAAGCTGTCCAGATCGTGACATTTAAGAAGGCAATGTTTGATAGTAAAATAATCATTGCAAGCTATACAAAACGGAGATTTGTCTGTGAATGTGTAACTCTCGTGTGTCCAATTTGACATTTAAGAAGAACTACTTGATCATTAAGGTTTAGAAGAGATATATAAGATTATACATCAAAACGAGGGTTGGTGTCATGACGTGTGTTAAATATGGCTTTGTCAAAAGGAGTAACTCTTATTTTTTGCAAATTATTGTATTCATTTCTCACTTATAATGAGTACAGGAGACTTATTATCATTGAATAAAGAAATGTTTGTCGCAATTTCTAAAGAAAAGAAAACATCGTTACAACAGTTCTAAAATTATGTATTTAGAAAAGATTCTACTAGTTCAGATACGAAATTATCACAATCATCCGATGATATGGGCGTTGTTATGAGCAACTGAAAAATATGATAAAATTATTTAAAAACATTTAACATTGAATAGCACTATTGGCTTTTTCTGTAAAAAGTAAATGAAACGTAAAATGTTAAGTCGCATAAAACATATGTTATAGGCTTTAATACTGAATGACCGAGCTGTTATCAAACCAAGTGTCCCTCGTCGTCCGGAACGTTGGATTTTTTCATATGAAGACGCTTTTCATCTAGCATACGGACGGTCGGTGCCCGGAGGTGCATCTTCTTCCATCACTAAAGCTGTAAAGTCGCCAACATACTTTAAATTGCATTCATAGTTTAGGTATGAACACATCTGCGGATGTATTTAAATTCATAAATTCACCCTTTTCGTGTGTTTAAACGTTGAATTCTACTTAAGCCGGTGCTATGGGGGCGCGGACGGTAACTTGCACTTTCTAGAATCGTTCATGAACAGGCTCATTGAAAAAGAGTCTGCAGCTTTGTCAATTTTGCCGTGTTGGACTTTCTTTAGGGTTTCTATTTTTCTCTTTTTTAAATTCCCATCCACAGTAATAAAAGTAAATCGTTTACGAAATCAACTTAATGATACTGATTCCTAATGCGGATGTACACAACATGAATTTACTATGTTCCAATTAACATGCACATTCTTTATTTGCAAGACTTTTGAAGCTTATTTTAAATGTAATTTAGATGTATTTTAGATAATATAGCATCATGTTTATATGTTTAAAGTAAAACCTTTTGAGAGATGATTAAAGTTCTCTTTGCAAAGTACTTACCGTATTCACAAACATAGGCATAATTATGATGTGTGCCGTTTGATGCATGCATACCGCATGCTACATCGTCCCAATATCCATTGGAGAACATTACAACACAGTCCTCATGATTGTGGTCCGGACTCTTCCTATGATGAGGCTTCCAGTGCATGTATGTATCGTTCTCACCTTTTGTTACATATATAAATAGTTTATACATTCATTAAAATTATGTAAACGTTCGGCATAATTCGTAACTGTCTATGTCATGTAAAGTCCTGATAAACTATATTTTATTACCACTTACAGAATAAAATAATAAAAGAAGCCATCGTAATACGTCTCGATTTGATAATTATACATATAAAACATAATGATCCACAGTCAACACGAAGTTAACTTTTTTTCATTTTTATGGTTATAAATTTTGAGTGATATTTCTTTTCCATAGTAATAATATTTGTAATGTGTTTCTGTATTCGAAACATTTGACACGTTTAAAGCATTTCGCCTGAATAGACCGGACTTGCTGTTTTGGAACGAAATACATGAATACAATTGTTTTTAATATAAAGTGTATTTGATAACATTTGATAAAAAAATAATGTCTGACCTGTAACCCATTTAAAATGTTCCTCGTGAGCCTTATCATTAAGTCCAATCCAAACTTTATGCACATAGGTATGATTAAGTAGGTGCTGTAAGTACGTGTTCTCTTTGTCATTATGTATGGTGACCAGGTGTCCGCCGCGTTCCTTACATAACATCTGTGCATGGTTCCAGCCCACCCTATCTGAACATATCTCGTAGCAAGCATGACCGTGTTGAGTTAACACGTATCCGTTATTGTGAGCCCCTTGTATTACGTATGGTGGACACAATTTTGGGTTGCCTGTGTACAAAGGAATATATTTTCACATCCTGAGAATTTCGGTAAGTACCGTGATATTATATTAAGGTCTTTAAAGAAAGGAAAATATATTTTCATTCAATATATTTTGCTTAACAAATAGTATAACAGTAACGCTCCTTTTTCTTGATAAAAGATGGCGATATCATAAAAAGAAGAATAATGTTAAATATTTAACATGTAACCCATTGTTGATAAAAGAAAAATATTTACATTTTTTATTATTAAATTATTTTTTTATATATCAAAAAAAAAAATAATATACTGTACCTAGTAATGCATGTGACAGTGATATGTTACCATGCACGTGGGTATTGTTTCCAGTATTGGTAGTTGTGTTGGTGTTGACAATGTTGGTGATGTTAGTTATATATGTTATATTTGTAATCACAGTATTGTTGACACCCTGTACAGGCATGACAGGTATATCAGTAACTGGCATATCTGTGGGATCTAGACCTGAAATGAAAGAAAAACAACCTTAACGTAGATTTGAATTTTCCTTCAACTTCAATATCTTTCAAAAGAAGCGATAATATAATGTTGTGGTGACAGCCCAAATGTTAATACTGATAAGGTAAATCGTCATATTTTATTTTAAACATAATTTTGAAATGCTAAGTGTTAAAATTCAAAGTGTATTTAGGTCACAGTTTGTTGTTCGGTTATCTTCCGTCATTCAAAACGTTCAACTATTTCAAAGTTTAAGCTCTACAACTGACTTTTTTGAGAAAATTGGTTGAAACTTTGGACAAATAATAGGATTCTTCGAAGGGATGTATACGCGTTAGAAAATACCTTCATATTGCGTTTTCATGCAAAGATCAGCAATGACGTCATGCTGTTTAACATATCCTGTCTGAAAGAATAAAGGCCGTTTATAAGTGATACACCGCTATAAACTACATAAACGGAACAATGTGTATTTCCATAGCATTGTGATTATAAGTACATATTGAAACTTTCTCTATGTGCACTTTATAACTTATTTATTGTTTACAACCTCTAAAGAAAAATATACTATTGTGCAAAATAAATAGAAACCATTTATAATAAATTCTTAAGTAAATATTGTAAGAAAAATATGCATATAATGAGAACTAGGAAGATACCGTATGATCAAACAACGTTAATTAATTTAATTAGCTAATGTAAATGAAGATAAAGATCAGGCTTTAATACAGTGAATAAAAATATATACTTGATGCGAAAATCATTAATAATAATAGAAAAAGCTTAAATGGTAATAACTGAATAAGTTCAATTTGAAATAGGTATCAAAATTATCCGGCTATCAAAAATGCTGAGTTTGTAGCCCTACATAAGATCAGTTATAGAAGTAGTGACATAATAGTGTGCTCTCTTATAACCAATAATAGATCCTTGGACTTAGTACTTAAACAAGTTACTGACCTTTACTTGATACAATAATGTATTATCATTGAAACATAAAATATATAAGTAAAACGAAACAGCATCAACTAGATTTACATTGTTATCTCATGATTTAATGATTGAAAAAGAAAGACACCTGAAGTTTGCCCCATAGACAATGAATGTTTTCCAAATGCAATATGAATGTTATAGTATAATTTTCTGCTGGTGTGTCTTAAATATACATGTATATGTTATCCGAAAACTACCGGTATTTGCTTTTCAAAGACGTGTATATTCAAGTGCACGTAATTATAGAAATGTTCCATTGCAGGTTAATCATTCTTATTAGAAACAATCAGGGACATAACAAATTTCGTTCTTACTAAAAGTTATATAATTGATGAAATAATTTCGGGAGCTTTAGGTGAAAACACATTCGGGAGATATCATACACCCTGTTATAAATGTCGTATAACGGAGGAAGAACTCACGGATGTTACATACTTTTAATATACAAATACAAACACACAAGTGAACGAGTGGAATACCAAAGCTGAACTGCCGCTCTGACATTTGAGAATAGTATATATAATATCAACCTGTCCTAAGGACATTTTATAATGTATATATAAATACACACGTTTTAGAGTTACATATATAAATCATCTTGACATAAGCTAGTCCGCATGCATCCTGAACTATAATACTCATAAATCATGTCATGTTCCATAGTGCACATTATGAAATAAAAACCTTAATATATGTATATACATGTTGACTTGTCATTCTTTTTGAATATAGCATGTATGACTAATTAGCCTGTGCAACCAGCTATACGACAATTCCTCCATTACTTATAAAAAAAATATTTAAAAAAAAAGTATTGAACAAGTTATTATTTAATATCAAACATTTCAAACTCGTTCTAACAAAATTATAAAAATCTAAAATCTAAAATCAACTTGACATCTGTTTTACCCTTAAGGTAATATCCGGTCAGAGATGTCCGGTCAGAGATGTTATCTAACGACTTTTGTTACTTTATTTTGAAAAAGAAAAACGCCTTAGGAAACAATATTCGGAAATATTCGCTCAATATATTTTCTTGTCACTTTTTAAAAAGTTTTCGGATACTGCAGTCGGGTAAGTTATAATTTACTTCAACAATTTTGTAATGTTTTTAATAAGTAAAAAAAATAATTATTGTTAAATGTAAAGATAATCTTTTCGAAATTTTTAATCAGTTAATATAACTGTTATTCTACAAATAATATTAAAGTGACATAAGGTAAATATTATAGCTTTATAAGTTTTTCAATAAATAAAATCAACCGTTGTCGTATAACGTAGGAAGAACTCACGGATGTTACATACTTTTAATATACAAATACAAACACACAAGTGAACGAGTGGAATACCAAAGCTGAACTGCCGCTCTGACATTTGAGAATAGTATATATAATATCAACCTGTCCTAAGGACATTTTATAATGTATATATAAATACACACGTTTTAGAGTTACATATATAAATCATCTTGACATAAGCTAGTCCGCATGCATCCTGAACTATAATACTCATAAATCATGTCATGTTCCATAGTGCACATTATGAAATAAAAACCTTAATATATGTATATACATGTTGACTTGTCATTCTTTTTGAATATAGCATGTATGACTAATTAGCCTGTGCAACCAGCTATACGACATAAACTTATCAGATTGTTTTGTATATATATCAACATACAAACGAAGTTAGCAAAAGAGCAATAACCTCATAGGAACTGGAAAAAATGCTTCGATATTGTGTCCCTTTGTACGTTAAACAAGGTAATAAAGCAAGTATAATATCATTTTCACATATACCTTTCCGTTGAACTCTACTGTCAACCATCCTTGATCTACATTATTTTGAATAACATAAGCTTTGCAATCATTCGGCTTCAAGTCGCCAATTATTTCCTGGTCCTAAAATATGAACAAATTGTCCTTAATAATTTTAGATTTTTGTATTTGAAATGTTGCCGTTGTGTAACAGTCCAAACTATCTGATATGAAGTAAAAATATGAACATTTTTAATTTGATAATATTAAGAAACGTAATGCGTTACTGACGTTTTGTCATACACAAATTGCTGAAAATTATCGGTTTTGTTATCCGACAAAAGGATTAAATTAATACTTGGATCCAGAAATTAAATCATAATGTTCAAGTCTTTGGAAATAAAAACAAATTGTATCTTTGATAATGGGTACCATTTTAATATATTTAAAAGATGATTATATTATTTTTTTACTTTACAAATCAAAATCGTCTACTTATGACCAGTGCTTTATATGCATTTATTTCCTGATAACTGTAAATAAAATGTAAGAGTGAAATAATACAACTGTACTTGATCAAAGACAGGGAGTAAGTTTGCAGCTTTGTTACAGATGCAAATGTCACTGGCAGTCGCTGACAATGCTGACACCGAAAATAACAATACTAAAGCAAGATGAGTTTCCATTTTTACCTAAAATATAGTCAAAGCAAAAAACGCTAAAAAATATCATATTGACATAAATGTAATTACATCATAATCTGGAAACAAAGTGATCCGTCGGAAGCAGTAATAACAAAGACATAATAACATGAAAAGTTTTATCAAGTTTTGTCTAATTACGATTAAAATTACCAGAAAGTGTGGCCTATTTATCATATTTTGTTAGAAAGCGTGGTACTGATTTATTATGAAAAAGTGCACTATTTTCTTCTTAATGCTCGGTGAATTTAAACAATTTTATTTTTAAAGGTAATATTTTAATTATTTTAAACTATTAAAATTAAACGAATTATTTATATATCTAAATACTGTAGACTTTTGTTCACATATACATTATTTATAGCTTCAGATTTGATATAAAATAATAAGAAAATTGAAGAATCTATAAAAGAAAATACGTGCTTGATTGCTTACTACGTCTCCAATCTTCTATAACTACCAGATACCTTTCTTATCGGAACATCACGATTTGACATGAAAGATAAAGAATTATTTAGACCTTAATGTCAGTCACAATAGTTATAAAAATTCAGTGAGTTCAAATGGAGATGATATAATTTATACACAGAAAGCACCGTATATATCCCGTAACGCGGGAATGTGAAAGTAATACATGACCCATGCGGTGATAACTTTACTTCTATTTGATTTAATAAAAGACTAATAATATTTGTCATATGTTGCGGTTCGGACCGGAATATCCGTCCCGAGGGGACCCGCTCATTGGGCGGTAACGAGGCTTGCCGCCCCGAGGGACCGAACCGCAAACATATGTCAGATATTTTTTCTTGCAAATTCTGTCGCATTATTATTTTATGTTTAAAATGATTTACCTCAATATGATATATGTGCATGGAAATTAAAGTCATTTTATCCATAACTATTTTCTTACAATAGCGTATGAACTTACAAAATAGATAAATACAGAATCCCTAAAGAAAGCCCAACACGGCAAAATTGAAAATGTTGCAGGCTCGGTTTGATTGAACCTGTTCATGGACGGTACTGGAAAGTGCAAGTTACCGTCCACGCCCCCTAGCACCGGCTTAAGCAGAATTCAACATTGAAACATGAAATGGTAAAATTTGGAATTTAGAAACATCCGCAGATGTGTTCATACGGCGGTTATCATGGAACCTTCAATGTGACACAGTAGTGCCATTCCATGAAAAGCGGCGTATGGTCCCCAAGTAATAAAAAGCGTGTGCCCTAAACGAGAAAACAATGGGCGGAACTAAATAAAATGGAATTTTGTAAGGGGATCGGAGGTTATGAAGCCTGCATATCACAGGTAAGACGTCAAAAGACAAATTTAAAAAGCAGGCAACATATCCTAAGGGTGATTCAACATTATTCAAGTAGGAATATTGGAACCACCCAACTAGAAAATGCCGAAAAGTTGAAACTAAAAATACCACAAGCACAACAATAATGTCGTGCTGAACGATCTTCAAGGATCGAAAATATAACATCATTGATTAAATGTACGGGGAGACTTTTTACAGCCGCCACACGGCACAAATAACACGGATGTGATCATAAAATAGATAAATACAGAATCCCTAAAGAAAGCCCAACACGGCAAAATTGAAAATGTTGCAGGCTCGGTTTAATTGAACCTGTTCATGGACGGTACTGCCAAGTGCAAATTGCCGTCCACGCCCCTAGCACCGGCTTAAGCAGAATTCAACATTGAAACATGAAATGGTAAAATTTGGAATTTAGAAACATCCGCAGATGTGTTCATACGGCGGTTATCATGGAACCTTCAATGTGACACAGTAGTGCCATTCCATGAAAAGCGGCGTATGGTCCCCAAGTAATAAAAAGCGTGTGCCCTAAACGAGAAAACAATGGGCGGAACTAAATAAAATGGAATTTTGTAAGGGGATCGGAGGTTATGAAGCCTGCATATCACAGGTAAGACGTCAAAAGACAAATTTTAAAAAGCAGGCAACATATCCTAAGGGTGATTCAACATTATTCAAGTAGGAATATTGGAACCACCCAACTAGAAAATGCCGAAAAGTTGAAACTAAAAATACCACAAGCACAACAATAATGTCGTGCTGAACGATCTTCAAGGATCGAAAATATAACATCATTGATTAAATGTACGGGGAGACTTTTTACAGCCGCCACATGGCACAAATAACACGGATGTGATCATAAAATAGATAAATACAGAATCCCTAAAGAAAGCCCAACACGGCAACAACTTAAACAACAACGGCGAAATGACGTCATCCTTAGCACATATTTCCCTTCTAAATCGACGTTATTTTAACGCGGTTCATTCATAAAGTGCACTAAAATGACAAACTATAACGGTTATTTTATTGACTAATCTTGTTTGTTCTGTTGGTATATTGAAACAACACAATAAAGGACTCGAACTTAAATCTGCTTAAGCTAGAGGGGTGTGGTTGCTAGTTTGTATTCGACAGTACCGTCCAAGAACAGGCTCAACCAAACCGATCCTGCAACGTTTTCAATTTTGCCGTGTTGGGCTTTTTTTTAGGGATTCGTATTTTCTCTATTTTAATATACTGTCAAAATCAGGGGCGAAAAACCGTACAAATTTGCCACGTCATACTTGATCATAGATGGCAATACTTAAATTGTTGTGTCAGTAATTTAAAAAACAATGTATTTATTTTTGACTTAAAATAATGGTTTTATAATAATAATAAAATAATAAAAATGTATTATTAACCGCTTTGATGAAGCAATATCAAAATATGATAAACAAGATCAACAAGGAAATGCGGCGTTCAATGAACGCATCTACCACACGACAAGACTGGACATGGTCGGGGACACCAACATTGAACGTCGAACAATCCCTTGAGGATGAAAATATAACAACATTGATTGCATGCATGTACGGGGAGACTTTTTATCAATATCAAACCAGCAACCATTCCATTTCTAGAGTTTCGGGCTGTCGTAAAGTTTTCCGTTTTTTATTCTATTTCTTTGGTAAAATGGTAAATATGAACATTATAACATTTTCTGCGACATGGTATTCATTGTTAGCCTAAAGGATCGTTTTGTGATTGAAGTTTTCTTAATAAACCTTAATAAAGGCTCAATCAAACCGAGCCTGCAACATTTTCAATTTTGTCGTGTTGGGCTTTCTTTAGGGATTCTGTATTTATCTATTTTTTTCAAAAGAGAAGGGGATATTGTGTAGTTTAAGTGTTTTATTTATTTCGTCGAATGTAACCATGACCATTGTTAGAATTTCACTTGGCGGGGATTAATTTTATATACATTTTCGTGTCATTCAGGAACATATTGGGGCTAAGAGTGAGGTTTGGCGCGCCTAAAACCGGTTTAAACTCCCCAGTGGTTTAACTACCACTGACCGTTCCAAGGCGGTACCCCTCTGTGTTTCTCACGTGTTTTTCATGTCTGTATTGTTACTTGTTTTGGATGTTTACATGTTTTGTGATGTCTGCTGGTTGGATTGTCTTGACGGTAGGTATTTTCCCTCCCCCCTCTCCCATTTTAACCCCCCCCCATCACCTTTTCACCCTTACAGCCCTTATCCCTTTAATTCCCTTATGGGCCCGTTTTTGTTTATATTATTTCACATTACATGTCCCACTCCTTTCGCCCTTGTGTCCACTCCAGGTTTTTGTTTGGTGCCTTCTGGGTGCCCTACTTGGGTGTGTCTGGGGGCGGCGTCCTGTGAACGTTGCCTTTGCCTTGTTGATCTTTATTCTTGTTATTTTTTACTAAAACAAGTTGTTTGTTCAGTTCATAATCCTGGTGTCAAAATAGGCTCCGGTAAGTATCTTCCCCATTACCCCTAGTTTTTATTTCTTTGATTAACCCCCCCCCCCCCTCCTTCCCCTGTCCCCTTTGTGGGCTTATTATTCCCCCCCCCCCCTTCCCCTGTCCCCTTCCCCTTTGTGGGCTTATTATTCAATCATTCATTTGTTTTCTTTGAATTCCTAATCAGTTACAAATTATTTATCTTTTAATGATTAATCTGTCCGTACTCTGTCTTTGCCCTGTCCTGTTTTTGTTTGGGGTCCGCCTGGGCTCCTTGCCACTGGTTCTTGTTGCTGGGTCATATGGGGGTTGCGTTCATTGAACGCCGCCTTACCTTGTTGATCTTGTTTTTATATTATATTCCGTACAAAGGGTCTCTTAATGTTACATAGTCTATTTAAGGTATTTGGAAATCTTCTCAATAACTGAAAGGCTAAGATTTTTAGTGTGTGAAATTAAAAAGTAGGACCCTCGCCCATTTTAAACCCCCCATACTTTTTCACACTTACAACCCTTATCCCTTTAATTCCCTTATGGGCCCGTTTTAGTTGATATTATTTCACATTACATGTCCCCCTCCTTTCACCCTTATGTCCGCTCTAGGTTTATTTGAGTGTGTCGGGGGCCGCGTCCTGTGAACGTTGCCTTTGCCTTGTTGATCTTTATTCTTGTTTTTTTATTAAATAGATAAATACAGAATAAAACATGATGCCGCGATAAAAATAGACTTATATTGATGCCAGCACTATTAAGTGTTGAGAATTGAGTACCGCTCAAGCCGATGTTAGGGGGCGTGAGGGATGTTGCATTTATTCAGTATCCCTCATGTACAGACTCAAATCAAACCGAGTCTGCAATTCGTATGTAATTTTGTTGTGATTAATGCTTCCGAGGGATCACTTTGTTTCCAGAATTTTATATCCACTCCCGGTTTTGGTTTGGTGCTTTCTTGGTGCCCTGCTTTGGTGGCTTTGTGTGTCTGGGGCTGCATCCTGTGAACGTTGCCTTTGCCTTGTTGATCTTTGTTCTATTTTTTTTCCTCACTGGAGTCACTTTATTTTACAATTTTCTCTTATTGTAAAAATCTTTAAAATATCTAATTAACTATAAGGCATAGTCCTTAGCTATTTGGTGTATATCACTGAAAACTGGATCTCATCCGGGTTATTATCTCTCATGTACAGACTCAATCAAACCGAGTCTGCAATTCTCTTGTAATTTTGTTGTGATTAATGCTTCCGAGGGATCACTTTGTTTCCAGATTTTTATACTTCACAACAGCAGGTGTCAAGTGCTGTGTGGCAGCTGTCTTTAGTTGCCCCGTACTTCACTTCAGTGTTGTTATATTTTTTTCTGGTCCTTTGGGATCATTGATGCCAGCACTATTGAGTGTTGAGAATTGAGTACCGCTCAAGCCGGTGTTAGGGGGCGTGAGGGATGTTGCACGTATTCATTATCCCCCATGTACAGACTCAATCAAACCGAGTCTGCAATTCTCTTGTAATTTTGTTGTGATTAATGCTTCCGAGGGATCACTTTGTTACCAGATTTTTTTTCAAATCATAACCATGGAGTAAAACCTACTCTGCCCCTTAGATGTCCTGAATTTCCCAAGTCTCCTGTAGACAAATATTAAACATTCTTTTCCCCGCCAAACAACAATTCCTAGGATTTAAAATTTTGTTTTGTTTGACTGCGAGTTTGATTCTTCAAACATAGAAAAGAAAATAATTTCTTTCCAAGATATTTAGGCCTTATTGGTGTGTAGCATAGTCTATCGGGAGTCAGTTGATTTTATGAAGTCTCATATAGTAAACCCGTTTAAAGATTTTTCTTTTACACCAAAATAACTACGTAGATCTTACTGGATATTTATTTTGGGAATTGGCGAGTTGACATCTATTATGCCTCTTTAAATAATGACCCTGGATCACAATTTGCCTGAAGCAGGGACGGAATAAATATACGGCGCTTTTGCGTTTATTAAATTGGACATTGAACTCTCGGTATAAAACATTGATGTCAATACTGACAAAACTAACATGATGTTTTTGTTAACCATTTATGTTGTGAAGTACTGTTCACCTTTACAGCTTCAATTATTGGGAATACACAGTGCTTAGTAGAGGTATGAGCATTTTATTTGCTACGATTAACAAATTTCATTTTAATATCTGGAAACAGGGTAATTTCCCGGATGCAACAAAATTCTGGAAACAAAGTGATCCCTCGGAAGCATTAATCACAACAAAATAACATAAGAATTGCAGACTCGGTTTGATTGAGTCTGTACATGAGGGATAATGAATAAGTGCAACATCCCTCACGCCCCCTAGCACCGGCTTGAGCGGTACTCAATTCTCAACACTTTATAGTGCTGGCATCAATGATCCCGAAGGACCAGAAAATATAACAACACTGAAGTGAAGCACGGGGCAACTTTTTACGGCTGCCACACAGCACTTGACACCCGCTGTTGTGAAGTACAAAATTCTGTGAAGTACAAAAATCCATATTTTGTTTTTGCTATAGTTATTAGATGCTTGTGTTACCTTAAGTTTTCTATGCCTATCCTGTCTCGAATTTTACAATATTTAAGATACTGAATAATAATTCACAGAGTATATGTTTTATCCAAACTGACGTTGTTATTTTAGCGTCAAGTTACTCGAGTAAAAAAGTAAAAATTGACAGTAGAAAAGTTAAAATGATAAAGTCATAAATGAATATGCCCAATTGACATCGATCTTTTTCTTACACGTTTTTAACTTGTTGACATAACTTATTGCTTAAGATACCACTCATTCTGTCTTAAGCGATAATATCTTAAAGTAATTAAGACCCTTTTAATGGAAAAGAGAAATTTACAAATGGCAGGTTTGTCAAACATTGACTCTCATTGTATGTACACTAATAACTGTTTTATAATGAACAATTATTAAACGTTATCTTTATAAAGGATGCGACAGTTATGTTGTTCAAAATACAAATGTATTTCGTTCTTTTTATAAATAAAACGGAAGATATATGTCTTCATTTTGTAATTATTCCAAGCATTCAAACCGAAAACAACAAAATTCATCCAATTATATGAGCGCCGTTATGGACACCTGCAAGAAAAAATAATATTAAGAATTAGATATTTTGTATTTGTGCATTTTAATGATGTTTCTGAAAAGGAAAATGTAATCTTGTAATTATTATTGAATACTAAGATAAGGCTAACATTTAAAAAGTTATTTTTTTTTTGCTTAATCCGGTGTTTGGGGGTGTTTGCAGTAGCTTGAAAGAAGCCTATGGACAGGCTCTTTTAATCTCTGACTGCAACAATTTCGGTTCTTCTGTTTTGGGGCGTTCTTTAGAAATTAAATCAATGATAACATGACCGTATGTTACATATAGTTACGTTAAATACAAAATCATACATGTGATCTTTTCAATTATATAACATGTTTTCATGGTTTTGTTTCAACATCGTGGCATGAAGCTGTTATATTCAAAGAAAATATGTATTGTTATTTCAACTGTCTTTTACATTAATCCCGAAACTTAGGTCGCCGACTTTAAATAACTTGGCATTCACCACAACGGGTTGAAACCCATCAGGTTCTTCAGATCCGTTCATGTAAAGTGGCTATCCATTTAGCCTATTACTTATCGGTGGCTCTAAGGTGCCCGCTCCCGCCTTTAATAATGCATAAAGGAGCATCGTATGTTTTCCTCCCCAAGTAAGGCTTAAACTTTGCCATATGATCTTAACATTGTCATTGTTACTAAAATACCAACAAGGCAAACAAACAAACAAACAAACAATTTTAATATTAAATACTCACCGTACTCACAAATGTAGTCATGGTGGTGTGTTGCTGCATGCGATTCACATGAAACATCGTCCCAGTATCCAGCGGAGGACATTACAACACAGTCCTCATGATTGTGGTCCGAACTCTTCCTATGATGAGGCCTCCAGTTTGTGTATGTATCTTTCTCACCTTTTGTTACATATAAAGTTTCCATATTTTATATTTTAGTTGCTTACTCACTTTTTGATATAAAACATATAAAACAGTCTATCACTCCGTTCAATATAGTTGCAAATAAAAGTTTGCACTTTGTTACAGGGGAAGTTTGAAGACATATTTATGCAAAACATTGATATAATGCTTTGGATACTTGATTTTACAGAAAAAACAAAATTCAAACCAAACTCAACATGACGTTACGGCATTGATCCATATATTAAATGCGCAAAACAAATACCGATTGTTTTATACATTTCTAAAAATTTTGAGAAAGAATGTGTTACGTTTCGCTGACAAATGCATACAGAATTTCCAAGCAACGAAGTTCACGCCTTCTCTTGCAAACAAGTATATCTTTTTAGTACATATTGCATTTGGTACATATTATGGCAAATTCACAAATTCAGATTAAAAGTGAAATATTCTACAGTTCAGACGACAATCACGAATAGCTATAACATGTAATAAGAAAATATGAAGTCACTTGTTTCATGATATTTCTGTGATGACCTTTGTGTCTACTACTTTTAACTAGGGCTTAATCTCGTGATGTTACCTGTTCCATTGACTTTGTAATAGCATTATTTCACTTATCGTTTGTATATACGCTTTAACATTTATGTGATTTAGAACAATAAGTTACTTAACTAATGAAAGACATATCATTGTTTCAAAAGTGTATGTTGCATATTATAAAAATATTTTGTGTCGGACCTGTTACCCATTGGAACTGTTCCTCGTTAGCCTTATCATTTAGACCAATCCAAACTCTGTGATGATGGGTGTGACTGAGAAGTTGTTGTAAGTACGTGTTCTCTTTGTTATTATGAATAGTGACCAGATGTCCGCCGCGCTCCTTGCACAGCGTTTGTGCACGATTCCAACTAACCATATCTGTACATATCTCATAGCAAGCATGACCGTGTTGAGTTAATACGTATCCGTTTTTGTGAGCCCCTTGTATTACGTACTGTGGACACAATTTTGTGTTGCCTGTGTACATGTGAATATATTTTCATATCTTGAGCGTTTCGTTGACCACATTTTAAAAGAATGAGAAAGATTCTTAAAATATGATAAACAAGATCAACAAGGAAAGGCGGTGTTCAATTTACGCAACCCCTACACGACCCAGCAACAAGAACCACTGATAAGAGGCCCAGGAGGACCTCCTCCCCCAAACAAGTTTATGCCTATGTTATGTTCTTAAATGCATTGCTGAAAATGTTAAGTTCCGCAATTGCTTAACAGTGTTAAAATATGACATAGCAGCTTAAAACGAATGATAGAAAAGATACGATGAGAGATCTAATGCCAAATATTAAGGTTTAAATACCATTCTAAATAAGACAGTGGTTTGTACCCAGTTATTAATATGTAAGAAAATTGCAAAAAAAATATATAATTAACAAGCTGCTTTACCTCGTAGTGCATTTGACAGTGTAATGGTACCATGCACGTGGGTATTGTTTCCAGTATTGGTATTTGTGTTGGTGTTGACAATGTTGGTGATGTTAGTTATATATGTTATATTTGTAATGACAGTATTGTTGACAACCTGTACAGGCATTACATGTACCGGTGTATCAGTAAGTGGAAAGTCAGTGGGCCCTACAGAACCTTCAAAAAAGAATATTTTTTTTTAATCGTAGATTTCATTTTAGTATTTGTCTTATATGTCAATTAATATATACCTTTCACCTAGTGTTCTGCTGACAGCTCAAATTAGTGTTGTGTTTGATAAGAAAGTCCCAACTTTTAATCTTAAACATAAATGATTACAAAATTGTAAATAAATTAGGTTAAGGTCACAGTCTGTTATATAATTTTTACTAATGAAAACATTTCATAAGTATCGAAATAACTTGTTTCTTCATTATTATGCGCGATGTTGAGAGAATTTAATTTGAGCCGCGTCAAGACAAAACCAACATAGTGCGTTTGCGACCAGCATACGTCCAGACCAGCCTGCGAATCCGCGCAGTCTGATCAGGATCCATACTGTTCGCTTACCAACTCTATTACAAGTAGAGAAACTGATAGCGAACAGCATGGATCCTGATCAGACTGCGTGGATGCGCAGGCTGGTCTAGATCCATGCTGGTTGCAAACGCAGTACCTTGGTTTTGTCGTGGCGCGGCTCATTTGAAAAGATTTGATTAATATTGAGGTCCTTTATAATGACGGAGGAGCGAAACAAGTTCTAGAAAATACCTTCATTTTGTCCTTTCGTGCAAAGATCAATCACAATGCCGCTTTGTTTTGTGACATAGCCTACCTGGAAGGACAAAGGGAATAACTTTGTCGGATAAGAAAATTCAAATTTTCAACTTCCCAAATACAAGAAACTGTTTACATCTTTTACATGTTATCAAAACAGAAGAATAAATACATGTTCAAACAAAGAGAGTTATCATTGAGACAAACATTTTATAAACGCCAAACTGAGATCTGTACAAAACAAAGAGATATTTATTATTGCCCTTATGTTAATATACAAACGAAGCAAGTTAAAAAAATTAAATCACACATGTGTGTAATTTTTATCACACTTAAGTGAAATTATATATATATTATGTATATAATTATGCTTCTAAAACAATTTTCAAACATCGAAGAAAATGTAAAATATGTACTGCAAATATTTGTCTACATTAAATGTAATCATTAAAATATATGCATTCATTTCTTATTGAAAGATTTGACTTAGACTTTATAGAAAATATGTTTTTTATTACCTCCCTTTATTTACATGAATTGTAAATTCGGTAATGTCTTTTCAAATAATGCTTTTTGGAACTTACAATATTGATAAATCTTCATTTGAGCATTATATTTATGATATAAAACCATAAAAAATGAGTCACATGATCTTTAAACCAAGGCAATAAATATCATTTTCACAAATACCTGTCCATTGAATTGTATCCCGAACCAATATTGATCGACGTTACTCTGGTTAGCGTAAGGTTTGCAATCGTTTGGTTTTAACTCTCCAATTTGTTGCTCGTGATCCTAAAATACATTGTTTTTTAGTCCCAGCAATATGTCATTAAGATGCGTGTATTTCTCTGGCGTAGCATTTGGATGATATAAAATTATTTACATTGTCAATTGTATGAATATGAGCTTACAAATCTTTACTTACGTATACTTTTGTTTTACCCATATATCTTATCAATATGACGATTTTCCCGTTTCTTAAGTTCACCTTTATTTTTTAGGAATTTATGTCACATCCTAATATTAATAATGATATTGATAGAAGTTAGGGCATAAACTTAGTTTGATTGCAAAAGGTTTTAAAATTGATTACAACTCCATTAAAACAGATTATAATTGTCATGTTACTCCGCTTGCGAACACCGAAACAAAGTTCGAGTGCTTTCATTATAATGAGCGTCGTTTTGATAATATAAGTGTAAATAATTTCATTTTTTGATTAGTATATTTCTTAACAAATCTCAACAAATATAAAGATAAGAATAAAGGTAAGAGAAACATAATATAAATATTATAGTATATATAGTTTTTGTACAAACTTGGTCAAAGACAGGAGAATTTCCCGCAGCTTTGTTACAGATGCACACACCACTGACAGTCGCTGACAATGCCGACACCGAGAATATCAATAGTAACACAAGAGGAGTTTCCATTGTGACCTATAATGTAGTAAAAACGAGAAAAAAACGTTTATAATTTATAATGACATGCTTTGCTTGATTACGGATAACAAAAATTCGGATTGTATTTGCTAATTAAGTAGATATCACCGTATGAGAATATAATACCTTTCTTCTACTCGTAAATGCATGTAGTATCATCTCTTTGAAATTAAAATAAATGTTATGAATGTATAAATTTTAATTGAATTAAAGAATGATTAGATTTAAAATAAGGTGAGAGTGAATTTTATAGATAGATAGATAAACTTTATTCATACAAAGGCAATATGCCCATCAGTACACAGTAATAATACAATCAGCAGTTACATATTAACATCAATGGCATGATATAGCATGGTATACATAAAATAGTTCTATTAAAAAGTCAATACTTATTCATTATAACATATCTAGTCTATTATATATGTGATACATATAAAATGTATATGATAACATCAATGACTTGATATAAGCATCATATATATGAAATAGTGAGAGGACAAGGTTATCGTTGATACAATGCACTGTCTCTTTTATCAAAACTTTTGTAAACAAATATTGCTAAATTTTTAACAATCCAAATATTTTCAGATTCAAATAGTTCTCTAAATTTAATTACATTAGGTCTCTTCCAAAAATATTTTTTCATATGCATTTGTCTAATATCTTGGTACAGGGGACATTCAAATAAAAAATGAAACTCATCCTCTAGAGTATTACAAAGTCTACATTTTCTTTCGTCAAATGATATTTTTTGTGGCCTATGCCATCTACCCGCTTCTACCTCTAAATAATGGGATGACACTCTCAGTCTTGTTAATGCTTTTCTATATTTAGTAATTTTAACAATGTCTAAATATGGCTGATATCTAAAACATGAAAAAAGTTTATATGTCCTTGCTCTTGTCGAATTTTCCAATTGAGCGTTCCATAGTTGTAAACAATTATCATACATTCTTTGCTTAAATACATCTATAAAAATATTTTTGTTTCCAACTCCTTGGAATAGCCACACATGATTAAAACCTAATGAGTCTAGTAAAAGTTTAATATTATAGGCCCATGAAATCTTATTAGGATACATTTCTAAGTCTCTTAACATCATATCGTATACATGTCTTATATATTTTGTGCATTCGCATTCTAATATTTTAAACCAGAATCTTACTATACATATTAGCCTATTAGAAAGTAAACTTGTTCGACCTAATTCTCCATAGACAAAATTATTCTGGGTTTGGGCACGTACTCCTAAAAGTTGTTTACAATATTGTAAATGTATTCTTTCTATAACATTTGTTTCTTTGAATCCCCATATTTCACATCCATAGTTTAAAATAGGAACAACTAACTTATCAAATAGTTCTAAGGAGTGCTTAACATCAATATTAGTGAATTTAACTAAATAAGACTTGAGTTTGTATATTGCCTTCAACGCCTGGCCTGCTAATGCCTCGTGCGTTGCGCTAAAAGAACCACCTGTGGTAAATGTAATACCTAAATAAGAAATTTTTTTAACAATGTCTACAGTGTGACCATTATATGTGAAGTTCATATTTCTTCTGTTTGTGCCGCCTTTTCTAAATACAATTACCTTTGTTTTTTCAACATTAACTGTTAGTTTCCATTTCATACAATAGTCAAATAACAGATCTAAACCTTTTTGTAAACTAGTTTCGGTTTCAGCAAAAATCACAATATCATCAGCATACAGCAAAAGGAAAAGTTTGAACATATCTAAGTTTACACCATCAAATCCATGTAATATGAAATGCTCCTCAATGTCGTTTAAGTACATTGAGAATAAAAAAGGCGAAATACATTCTCCTTGACGAACGCCCAACATGCATGAAAAATCAGTGCGAAAAATAAGTCGAATTATCGTGATAATTACCTACTGTGTAATATTGTTTATATAAATATTTACCTTTGTCCAAACTATCACTTTTCACTGCATATGAAAAAGTGAATGAATGGTTTAACGTTGACATTATATAAGATTAAAGGATTGTCTACAACAACAACTACGTTCATTCAATGTACTTACGTGCATAATGTGGGTCTTTGATCTTGATTAAGTACGAAATTAAAGTCATTCTTATCGGAACACTAGGACATCGCAATTACGTCAGACATAATATTTGAACAGAACACCATAAGTCATCAATTTTAATTTATTTCACTGAGCACTTTGCGTGCCATCAATACTTACAGTCAATATGTTTTTGCGAGCCAAAATGATGCATTTTTTTATTATTCAATATTTTTATCATTATTAATATTTTTATTATTATTATTATTATTATCATCATCATCATTATCATTATCATTATTACTATTATTTTTATTATTATTATTATTATTATTAATTTATCATTGTAATTGTTATTATAGTTGCTTTTGTTTTTGTTGTTGTTGTTGCTGCTGCTGTTGTTGTTATGATCATTATTGAGATCACCAATATTAAATATCTGCTTAACATTTCACTTTTAAGTTTTTATATGTGTATACTTGATGACATGAATACACTTGAACATATTATGTGTTTTCTCATATTCTTGTGTTTAACACAGAGAATCTTTGTGATGTTATTTTATACTTATCCTTTTTCTCTTAAAGACGTGTGGCATAACTTTCAGACAAATGACAATTATTATATTTTAATTTTATTTTCTTTCTTGATGATAAAAGTCCTGAAAAATTGTTACAGATATCCAGACATGCTTTCTTATAATAGGGATTACATCCGTCTAATATAAACTTAAATCATCTTATAAGTGAAATTAATTATCAATGACTCTGGGGTGATAAAATGGAGAGAGTTTTTAATCGACATATTGACGATAATAGCTAGAATAAGACTGTCGAACTTTGGAAGTAATTGAGACCTATGTGGAGAAAAGTCGACATTTAATTATAGTTTTATACCTCCATGAATAATAATGTGAATTAGACTTGATGAGCCGCTTATTTGTTACAATGGTGTCTAAGACTATATCTAGAATGTATTTCTCGACTGTATTCTAGTCTTAAATGTTGACTTTATATTAAGTGTTAATTTTATGAATATATGGGAGAAATAAAACCTTTTTATTACTGTATAAATCCTAAAGCTTTGAGAATAACATGTAAAGATATTGGTGCTTTGAATTGGGAATAGATTTTGATTATATGCAGTTACATTGTATTTTAATCATGGTATAGTTTTTTATTATCATTGTGCAAAGACAACTCGTGAACCTCGTGCATAAAACAGTCAAGACAAAATCATTCATGTTATCAGGGAATAATCATGTGCTCGTAATGGGATCATAACTTTGAAATTGATTGTTATCCTGTCTTGAAGGGACTAGTAATTTTTCGAGATATAAACAATATATACAATGTGCTATACTGAGCGTGGAAAATGAACGCTACAAATCTGTCATCTAATATTGTTGCTGTCGACAGAACGTATGACGTCACGGATGACGAGTGTTACAATTCTCAGGTGAGATCGTTGTTCAATATCTAATTCTTATGTTACACAAATCTGAAGATTATATTAATATGTCTAAATGTTTTTGAGCTGCATGAATCTATTTGACTTATTGATATTTCATATTCATTGACAACAAGAAAACTTACACCTTATTGAATTCAACTTCTGCTAATCTATTCTGCTAAAATAAAATAAAATGTATTGCAACAGAACTTGAGATAAAATCATTTCTACATGGCCAGGTGTAAAATATTAATTTACTTCCAATCACTTCCATCGTCAATAGCAATAATGTACAACATACTATTGAAAAAAAGTATTTTTATTGAAAGTGTTTTGAATTTCTGTTTTTGTAACTGTTGGTGCATATCAATTGTAACATAAACTAATACAAACCGTGGTTATAAATAGTAACTAACTTATAAAATGAAAGATAGACACCAAGTCATGTCGACAGAATTAGGAGTTTATAAATTATCAAATAAACTAAATTATATTCGCTATTTACTTTCTTTTTGTCTTAACCATAAAAGAAGCCCATGGAAACAAATGCCAGATTAGTTTATATCTCTTGTATGCACTCTCCGGCACTTCGGTCGAATATTTTACCATCGTTCGATAGTGTATTCAATAAGCTACTAAGGGAGCGTACTTTGTATCTAGACTGGCCTTATTGTCTTAGGTAACAACACACCATTACACGAATTCAAAAAAAGAAAAAGTGGAGAAATCGTTATCAAAACAATTTCTTGTGGGCAATAGTGCTTTATAGATAAGATACAAAAATGGAAAAAAGGAGCAGTAGGTTTTTAGGTATGAGCGACCTAAATTGTCCTATTAAATTTATTTATAGGTTAAAACAAGAAAATTAAAGAAGAAAAGACTGCCTGCAGGAATGAATATTTTACAGAAGTAAACATGTATTTTTTTATTAATGGCACATCAAGGCTAAAAATAAACAAAACGAAAAAAACCAAAAACGCCCTTTTTAACGTGTTTTGTAATGTTTTAATAATGAATTCAGAGCACAAGGGATGCTTAATAGCGCTGAATGTGAAATCATTTCTAATAAATATAGCAATGGTAAAATGGTATTTTAACTTCTTACAAAATACCAGATCACACTAACTGAACAGATTGCCAAAGAAACAAAAATGTATCATAGTTACCTTTTGAAATTGTAACTGGACACAAAAAGTTCAGTAAAAAGCTTTTTAAGACTTAATGGGCCTTCAATTTTTCTCGCTTTTTTGGAAACGCAATATGAAGCATGATATAATATCCATTTTCAGATGGTCTCTTCCTATACATTTTAACTAAGTTATAAATCAGAAGGAACATAACAATCGTTAATTACGGTAAAACAACTATTTTTTCCTTAAATTGTTCGTTTGTTCTTATTTTTTAAAGATTGTTTTTTATTCCGTTTTTTATTGCATGGAAGATTTAATGATTTATTCCATTGTGTAACCGGAACAGATGAGCTGTTCATACATGTATCTGCATAATTGAGTATTGCGTATAAATGCGGTAGTACAAAGTGTTAACATATAAGCCAAATGCATGTTGTACCAAAACTACCACGTACTATTTGGTTACAAATATACAGTCTTCATTTAAAATATATAGACTTTATTGTTCTAATATAAAATATCGGTCAAACAAGCATGCTTCTAACGAAAATAAAAGTATGTTTCATTTTTTGAACTTTTGATTAATTGACCATTTCAGCTGTATTCAGCGCAGCATAATGCAATGAATAGAACCTAAAGACATTAGTGCACTAACCTGATTAACATTGTGCTAGGATTGCCTTAAATATGCACATTTGTTTTTCATGTTAAAATGTGTGACTTACCTGTAGTACTTACTATTATTAAAAAGTGGTACAAAAATAAATAGATTGAGACCCTTGTTGCAAACAGCCACCAGCATACATGACCATTTGTAAGGTAACCAGTAGGGCGCCGAACAGAAAGTGGACCACAAGGGGCGGAGCGAGAGTTCTTTTATTGATAAGTAAATGAATCTTGTGTTTAAAATATTTAAGCCTGATTCTTAAATAGTTTTTTTTTTCTTTGAGACTCTAAATTTTCTTAAATTTTACATATTTTGTTATAATTTATTAATCAAAGAAGAAATGTGTATATTTGTGTTTTATTTATTTTATGTTAACTGTATGTCTTGGCCTTATTCTGCATTTGTGAATGATGAAATGATAAATGAATTAAGACAGCCTTTAAAATTGGACAATTTTATATATTCACTAGCAATGATCTTGTCATAATGAAGTTGGACATTGATATAATAAATATTTTAAAAACATAACAAGAATTAACTGAAACAAACACTACAAAATAATATTTTATGATGTGTCGTGGTAAACACTTCACACATGACACAAATATGTGAATTGACCTTGTTCATATCATTTTGACATCGCGGATTTCTCTAAAGATTCGTGACCTACAGGAAGGCGATCAGATAAATAAACAGAAGATACGTTCATATAAACATTCAAGCAATATTAAGTGTTGTCAGAATTTATTTGTAAGGCGTTCATAATTATGATGTAAAACAATTGTGCTGGTATGATAAAAGTGAACATTACATTATGTTAGCATTTAATTAGCATCTTAAAATTATTCTAATTAATTAATTCGTGTATGTGCTATATTTCATTGCATATATTCAAACACTATTTAAAAACAGTGAGACATAAATTGCGATTGTTATATTATTAATAGTATTCTCATGTTATTATTACCATAGTTCAATTGATTTTGAGAGCTGATTGGGAAATATTTAACAGACAAACTTATCGTTACTAAATGAGTGTTTGCGGTTACAGAAAAAATGGTAAAGTTTATCATTTTAACGTAAAATTACCTCTGCAATGACCACATGGACTCTCGGCGAAGCAACATAAATCAATTATTTTTTCACCGAGATGCATGAATTTTCTACAAGAACAAAGCGTACTATTTGACCTTGAGCTCGCTCTACGTCATTTTCAAAGCTGATATCACACAATTGCAGCAAGAAATACCTGATTTGATTTCAAATTACAACTATTTCTTCCTTCCTTTTCAAAGTGCCAAATTTATAATTCTGAAATTCTATCAACAGATTTTGTTGCTTATGTAAAGTTATAGAAATGTAATGTACGCCTTTTTTCGAAGAAAAATACTATAAAATGTTTACACATAAAAGCGTAGCAAACCGTCGGGTTGATAGCATTGTTTAAAAAATCGTAAAAAGAATTATAAAAATATTTTGAAATAAAATTACATTATAGTACGCTCAGTGTTGAGTCGACTACTCTTTTTTTCTTTTTTTTTTTAAGAAAATCCCCCTCACTAGTTCAAAGTTTCCGTCATTTTCGCGCTACTCTGTAAACGGCTTTAATATGCAACTTGAATCATGGTTTCTTTTCTTTATACTTTTATATTTCAGGTAATAATATAAGAATAAGAAAATGTTTTAGAATACTAAGTAAGAATCTTATTGCTATTATGGTAAGAAAATTGTAATGACAATAAAACAGTTAAGAGAAG